TCTAAGCGGTTAGTTTGAGATTGGAGATTGCCGATTTGGGTGCCTTGGGCGGAGAGTTTGCCTTCTAGTTCAGATTTCATTCCCTTCATCGCTCCTCCAAGTTTATTAAGACTTTCTGTTGTTTTTTTACCTTGAGCATTGATTTTACTATTTAGTTTAGATTGACCATCTTTTATATCACCTATTTCAGCAGCAAGATTACCAAGAGCATTGCCGAGCATTAGGTCTTTTGTATGATCGATAGCTCCTTCTAATGTGGCAAGAGGCAAGGACAGCATAGAAGCTAATTGTGGTCCTCCGTAGCCAAAAGCACTTATGCCTTGTAAAGCAGGAAGTCCTACTCTCCTAACGAATTTAACCGCTGCATCAATCACCCCAAGACCAAAAGTTCCAGCACCGCTTTTTTGAATTTCTTCAAGCGACATGTCTGGATTAATTTCTTTTATTTCTATATTGATGTTTTTTCCAGAAAGAAGTTTAGCAGGCATTGCTATAGCAAAATTATAGGCTTTTATCGCCGCATTCATCGTAGCAATTGCCGTTCTGGCTGCTCTTTCGGTTAAACCTTTTTCTTTGTTTTTAAATTGGTCTCGATTTGTAGTTGATTCTTCTCATTCGAGGTCATAGTCTTTAAATTCTATATCATCATTTTTGTTGTTTTTATTATTGTTATTAGTCATAATTAGTTGGTTTATAAAGTTTGATTAAATTTGTTATGAAAGAATAATTTAAGGTTTTTAAGTCTAAAATTATTATAATATGGTGAGTAAAGCGGATAGTAACAGAAATCTAGAGTTAAAGTTGAAAATACAAGAAATTAGGCAAAATATTTCAGAGAGAGAGAGAGAGAGAGAGAGAGCAAAAAAGGCAAAGTATTGGAATTACCAGTTTTGGAATTTCTTTACTAATATCATTATTTTTAGGTTGAACTGTATTAACCAGAAAAGAGAAGCCAGAAGAAGGAAGTGGTAATGTTTGACTTGGTTTGATTTTTTTTGGTTTTTTTACAATATTGGGACTTTATATAATTATTTCAGCTGGTAAAAAGTTGAAGACTATTAATCAAGAAATAAAGAACCACCAAAAACAAATCAAAGATTTAGAAAATTCAATCAGATAATATGAATAAGCAAAGTGAACAAGAAAAAGAGAGCATAGGTAAAAAGATGCTTAAACTGACAAAAATCAGAGAAAAAAGGAAAGCTAAAGAGAAAGAAAGTAAAAGGACAGGCGGAATACGTTGAAGTGGCATCGGCTTATTTATAAGTAGCATGTTTTGAGCATTTTTTCACAACTGATTTATTGATAATACTGCTGAATACGGTCAAGGAGTTGTAAAATTCTTCAAATTTATTTACTGGGCTTTTATTATATTAGGGATATTAGGATTAATTGGAGCAATTTATGCTATATTTGTCAGTTATCCGAAAGAATGCGAAGAATTAAAACAACTCAAAAAGCAAGAAAAACAATTAGAACGGGAAATAGAAAATCAATAGGGCAAGGGTTAACAACTCTTATACAAGGATTTAAAAAATTAATCTTTATCAAACTTCTCCACCCGAAAACAATCCATTATTCCTAAAATATGAGGATTATTATCATCTAAACATCAAATTAATTTATAGGCTTTATTTCCTTGGTAAGGTACAGCAAAATAGTAAGTATACTGGTAATAAACACCATCTACCGTAATTTCTATTTCACCATCTAATTGAGGAACTAATACTTTTCTAATTAAATCATCAGTGATTAACTTGCTGGCTAATTCTTTGGCGGATACTTTAATACCTTTTCTTTTTAAGGCTTCTAAATATTCGTGGTTATGTTTTTCGTAATAAGGACTAATTTCTAATACAGTGAAGTGTTGATTATCAATGACTAAGTCACACTTATATTCCCTTAAATTAGTAGGCTTGCGGGGAAATCTTTTCTCAGACATTTTTATTGTTAACTTTCATTTTTAAGGGTATGGCTAATTCTTCTAAATAGTTTACTAATTCTTCCAGGTCAAGTTCATCAATGTGGCAAAATAAAATCTTTTCTACTCGAGAATGAGTAATTCCTAGTTTTTTGGCTAACTCTTTTTCCGTGAGGTTATTTTCTCTTTCGTAGCGAGCTATATTTTTACAAAGATTATATTTAACCCTTTCAGCTGCCGAGGCATTGGGATGTAAGAGAATATTAGTTCTTCGGTGGCTTCTTTGAGCTCTTTTAACCACTCTTTCGAACTCTTCTGGTGGAGGAAAAACAAATCGCTTAGCCTTAGTATTCGAACTAACTTTTTTAAC